CAATAAACTAGGTTACTGGACACCCCTTTTAGCTCCCTGGGAGGTTGGATTGCAATATAAAGTATTACCATGTTCTTGATTGAATTAGGAATGATTTCAAATGAGATTTTTTCTTTTCTTTTCTTTTTTTCTTAATAGAATAATTGAGCTGAAATAGTTACAGTCCGTTGTTCATTGTTGAATAAGGCTTGGTTATACTTTATTTTGTAAGTAACTTCACAGGTATCTGCTTTCTATATCCTTACCAATATATGCTTTTACTTGCTACATGGATCAGTAGCTCTAATTTCATGAAAGTTTATATTCTGAAAAAAAAAGAAAAAACAAAAAAACAACAACTGAAAACTGTAGTATGTATGAAGCATCTATTTTTTTTTTATGCTTGCTTGAAACTGCATACCCCAGCTGTTTGATGCTTATCACATAGAAAAAAAAAAGAACAAGTAAATAAGCAAATAAAAAGATAAAGAACCACGTAACGTAACTTGATATTATCTAATTGGAATAGAACTCCTCTTTATTCGTGTCTTCTTTGTTGAGAAAATTAACCTGGTCAGTGTATGCAATATCCTCCCTGTTCACAAGCAACCCAGCATCACCACCTTCCCCTTGACCTCTCTGCAGTTTCAGGTATGTTTTCCTGCAGTTTCCCTTCTTATATGTAGTCTCCTAATGGTGATGGTATCTTCTAGTTAGCTGTAACTGGACAAGGGATGGGATATGCTTGGAAAACTAATGAGAGACATAAATGAGTGTTAGATTATTTGGAAGTGGTACTAGGAAGTGGTAACTCTGTAGGTATCCAAGAGAGGAAAGGAATGGACTCCTTGATTAATTATTCACCCCCCCCCTTTGCCCCCTTGCTCTTCCCCTCCCCAAATATATATTTTTTTCTCTTTTACTAATTCTCTCCTCTGGAAATCAGACGCAGAGCTGATATTTTGGGTGATGCATGTACATTGTCTAGATGTTTGGATACTTTAAAAGTTATCCTCTTTTTTTTTCTGTGATTGATTTGTCTCTTTCCCCCCTAATATAGATTTTTTTTTCTCTCCATTGAAAGCTTTTTGGCCTCTTGCATGTTTCTCATTATCCTTAAGGACTGTGCATGCTTTGTCTTTCTTTTTTAATTAGGTTTTGTAAAGGAGAATCTCTTTGTTAATCCTATGGTAATAGGATTATAGATATATTTCTGATTTGTATAGATTTGCAGAATGTTCATATGTTGCAATATACTGTTTTTTTTTTTTACTGTTTTTACTTAGAAAGTAATGAATTTCCAGGCCATGATTATTAAGATCTTTTTTGTTGTTTTTTCTGTATCCCACAGGCAGGAAACAGTCCACATGTAGCTGCCTGGACTGGAGGTGTGAAGCTAGTGCCTACAATCGTCCTTTGAGTAAATATCAAACTACAACTCTCAGATTAGAAAAGGTAACCACTTGTCACAAAATCAAAGTTAGAGTAAATGATATAAAAAAAGCAGGGATAAGTGCCTAAAAAATAATGATAATAATAATAATGAAACTTTCCTGTTGTAGATTATCCTTAAAAGAGGATGTATGGAAATCTTTTTGATATTGAGGTGATAGTTTTCAAATTGTTCAGTGATTTATCTTATTGTTAGATTTGATGCATTATTCAAAAGATAGCATTGCTCCGCTCACAAATGCTGGGCGTTGTATAAAATGTAGTATCATTCCATTATGTAATGGCTGACTCTAAAATAGTGCATAATTTTTATATATAATTTTTATAATTAATGATGAATTTGGATAGAACATTGTAGCTGTTTTCACAAAATCAGGTCCTGGATGACAATTGGCAAGGAAGATAAATTATCTGTTGATATAAAAATATATATGAAAGAGCTAAAAAGTAAAAGGATAGATTGCCTTATTAGTGAGTTCAGACGAATATAAGAAATGAAAAATGCAGCAGTGGTAAGGAATATAAGTAACAGTGGATGATTGTTGAAAATGCCTTGTATTTAACCAAGGAGTGCTGCAAACAAGGTCTGCTTGGGGTGTTTGTGTGTTTGTCTGTATGTGTGCATGTGGCTGTTTGGGTGAGTTTATGATGTATGTGCGTATGGCGGAGTTTACGTGCACCTGGCCATTGTATAGGAGTGTTTGTTTTTATGGATGTGTGTAAGTGTATGAATGTGGCACTTGTATGTCATTGCAAGTATGTGCCTATGTTTGCAGATATAAAATGATGATAAATGATTAATATTTAAATGTGCAATAACTCTAGAGGGAGTGTTTAATTTATTGTGTAGGCTCACAACAGAATAGCTCATACTTAGAAAGATAGCTTCAACTGCATTTAAGTGTTTGCATTGAGTATAATGTGTAAAGAAATTTTATTGGATCTCACAAATCCTGTTTAAAGCATGTCTTGTTTGCTTACTCGAAGCAGGAATGTACAATATAAAGCAATGATCTATGTGTTATAAGTAAGCAATATAGTGCCTAAAACCAGGGAAGAAGGAGAAGGGGAATTTGAATTTTGAGAGATTTAAACTGTATGACGATATAAAACTTATGATTTTATTTGGATGCATCATAGAAAAAAAAATATATAGGAAGAAAATGCCATAGCAGTTGTATCTGTATTGTCAGAAACCTGGTGCTGATATAAGCAAAATAAGCTATACCATTCAAGCAAGCATGTGATGTTTAGAAATAAGCTGTATGTCATTTATTTTTCAAAAGGAGGAAAGATTTTTCTATATAACTGAATTAAGGATATCCCCTTAGATGAACCCTTTTGTGATAATCTCCCATTCATAATATTTGTTAAGGATAAAATCCATACAAAACAAAACAAAAAAAAAAAACTAGGAAAAAAAAACAACAAAAAAAACTCGTGAGCAAGAGAGAAAATAAAGTAAATATGGTTGTGAAGGTGCATAATATTATTCTTACTTTGTGTATCAGAACGTCATTCGTGTTTTTTAGGAAAAGCCAACGGTAAATTGTATATTATGTGTTTTTTTGGTTAGATTTAGATCCTTTGATTACGAGTTTGTTATCCAATATGGGTGATGATGCTTTGTATTAGCAGCCCATTTGGGTTAACTATTAAATAAGATACCAGTGTTTACATACAAAAGTACCATGCTATTTAAAGGTCAAGGGTACATACAAACAGACAGACATACAGACATGTACACTTGCTCATATACACTTACCCAGACTCGCATCCATGTTCAGATACATATGCCCATGCTTGTTTATACACATATTCCTTCTCAATTCACACTATTTCTAATGATCTTATTTTGTGACTTATTATCTGTCTCTGATATAAACACACACACACAAACACACACACACACACTCTCTCTCTCTTTCTCTCTTTCTCTCTCTCTCTCTTTCCTCTTTCTCTTTTTTTCTCTCCTCTTCCCCTCTCTCTCCTCCTCTTTCTTCTCTTCTCTCTTCTCTCTCTCTCTCTCTCTCTCTCTCTCCTCTCCTCTCTCTCTCTCCCTCTCCCCTCTCCTCTCCTCCTCTCCCCCTCTCTCTCTCATCTCTCTCTCTCCTCTCTCTCTCTCTCCCTATCCCCTCTCTCCCCCTCTCCCTCTCCCTCCCCCTCTCCCCTCTCACCCTCTCTCCCTCTCTCTCTCTCTCTCTCTCTCCTCTCTCTCTCTCTCTCTCTCTCTCCCTCTCCCCTCTCTCCCCTCTCCCTCCCTCTCCCCTCTCCCTCTCTCCCTCTCTCCCTCTCTCCCTCTCCCTCTCCCCCTCTCCCCCCCTCCCTCCCCTCCCTCCCCCCCACCTCTCTCTCTCTCTCTCTCTCTCTCTCTCTCTCTCTCTCTCTCTCTCTCTCTCTCTCTCTCTCTCTCTCTCTCTCTCTCTCTCTCTCTCTCTCTCTCCTTTCCCTCCTTCTTAAAATATTTTTTTCCCTCATATTCACACTGTCACAAATCTTACCTGAGGCAATAGGCACTAATATTTTTTTCAAATAGACTTTGTATTACAATTATGAAGATCTCACAAGAGTACTTATGTCGTAGGTCACCTATGTCACAGAATATAAATTGAAGGTAATTTGATAAGATGAGTTTTAAGAGAATGCTTTGTGACTGACTAGTGATAATGTCAGTCAGGTGAATATTGTGATGAATTGTACTCTGTAGTGATATACTGTAGTGTTGTATATACTGGTTGCCTTCTAAGATTGGCTACGTAAGGAAGTGTTTCCGTCACGATGATTCAGATGGTTTTAATACATTTCTTGTATTTTCTCCTCTTCCTTTTTCGTCTGACTCCCTTCTCTTCTCGTCTCATTTCTCCACTACCTTGTCCTGTTTGTCTCCCTCTCTTTGCTTTCTTATTCTCCGGTTTCTCTTTGTTTCTCCGTCTCCTCTCCTTCTCTCCTCACAGCCTCACCTGCCTCTTCTCTCTTATGCTTCCCCTTTTTCTTAGAATAAGTGGATTTTGGTGTATTTTTTATGTAGTCACAAAAGTGTTTATAATAAGCGACACAAAGTTACATTTCTCTTTGTAGGAACATATTGTAGGTGTCTTTTTATTAGTAGTATTATAAACTGTCTTGAGAGAAGTACTATATACACAGCTGACATATTGCATAAAAATGATATGGTTTTTAATAATGATCAGTATTTCCTTGACTGTAATATAACCTGATTTTATCGGTTGTTATGATACATTTTTAGCTCCAGTTGTAGATCAGCTTCCATTACCTAGTACTGCTAGTAGGTCGTCTAATTTCATATTTACAAAGAAGCTATAGTTTAGATGCTGATTGGTTAATATATGAGTGTTCATGTTGCTCTCTGTATATTCAAACTGTGTTTGTAATTGAACTGTTCTCTGTATGATAATCTTGTTAATGAGAAATGAGAAAAAGTTGAATCATTTTGAAACATTAGCACTTTAAGATTTTAAAAACATTCACAAATATATTGAAAGTTTGGATACAGTCGGTTCATCATTTTTTGTTCTGTAACAACTACAACAAAACAGAAACAAATGAGA